TCTTAATTATAAATTTTCCTATCTCTGCCACATCACTCAGGCATCTGCCCGAGACAACCGTGCGGCACATGTACCCAGTTTACAGATTGCTCATCTCCCGATTTGCACTAAACGGTGCACTGTAAAGTGGCTGACTCTTGCATAAGCTACCACATACTCCATAAGTCAGATGGGTTTATGGGACGATTGGGCCAGAGTCTGTAGGTTGATGCTGTAAGTGATATTCGTACTTCATATTTTGTTTGACTTGACACGATGCAGCGAAATCACTTCAAACAAAGGTTGTAAAACGTTTAACTTTTCCACTCTTATCACTTATCTACGCCGTTTAATAGATGATGAGTACGTGTATCGAATTCTGTCTGTCCAGATTACCTTTGAACAATCCGGCTGATGACCTAAATCAAAGGTGATGAGGTGATTTAGAATTTGGACCAGTCCACCGACATCAGCTCCCCTGAACGTTATATAGAGGAGTCAAATACAGGTTTTTCATAGTCGATCTCAATAATTTGACTTGCCCTGAATTGTATGCTTCCCTCTATAGTTTGACATAATCCTGAGATCATACTCAAGACAGTTAAAAGTTATCGGTCTCGTCCCTGACATGGTTAGGGTTAAAGGAACTATTTCTTTTGTGCCTCATGTAAGTAAGTGTTTGCTAATCACCACCACTTTGTTACAATCAAACGCTGTGTCTAATTGGAGATGTTTCGTATTCATACTGGCGACTGAGGGAGTATCTGTGTATCAGGTAAAACGACAGGGAACGTGAACCACTTTTATTGGCAGTTCACCGCCAGGGTGTTTGCATGATTGATGTATAACCTAGTGATTTGCTTAGTATTTATATTTATTTTTGCCAACAGACTTCATTTTTCATGTGCAACGGTCCTAATATACTTTTTGTGACATTATTAGGAAGGCGTTAGAATCTTGCTCAACACTGTTTTTGCAAGCCTTAGAATGCATCTGTCTAACAACCTGCAGTGGAAAATTTCCCTATAACTATTGTGCGTTCGCAGATATTACTCAATAGATATGGAATTCGGAAAAGCTTGCACAGGTCCGCAACCAGTAACGTGATAAATACTTTAGTATATCGGTTAGGAGATAAAACAATGAGTGATCTGTGAAGAAGGATATGAAAACAAATTGCTGGTGCACAGTATCTTACAAAGATGCATTGTTTTGCCCGCCGAATCCACTGCTGACCCGTCCTTAATTGTTCCTAGTAACGCGGGTGCGACTGGTTTTTAAGAAGGTTACGCTTGTTTACAGACCAAACCGGCTTATTCGTCCTCAAAACACTCCTCTTTCTTGGAATGAAAATGTCGATATCTAATCAGGACGGCTAAAATGAGACGCAGCAGACAATCCAGAACAAAACATACTGTACGGCGTCTTTATCTGTAGCTGAATTTTCCTCAGTGCCAGCTTATTTGATAGTTCCAGTAGCATCCATTCTGAATCAAACATAATGACGCCGAAGGCTCTTGAGTGCGTTTTCGTGCTCTCGGAATACATTCCTTTGTATTCTGCGGAATGCTTTACTGAATATATCCAGCTTTGCCAGATTTATGGCTGTATACTTTGGTGCATTGAGGAAAAATTTGCCATTTTCATGAACATCTGAAGTAGTTCATAAGTCCTTTCATCTGAAATCACCTCAAAGATTGTCATACTTTTACACAATGAATATTGTTGAATGACCGTCCTGCACCGTCATGTTATCTTAGGTTCACACACATACCGTAAGTGGTCAAGTTGCATACTAAAGATATGGACAGATGAAACGCTGTGGTTGCCTCGTCAGTTACAACATATTTTTAACTCTCACAAGTTAAGTGATGAGCTCCTGTTACGCTTTCCGTTTCAATTCTCTTTATTTCCGCTACCTAACGCCCACTGCAAGATTTTTGACTGAGAACCCACATCAGTTCAATCATTCCAGAGTGTGCGCGAATTCTGTCAAAATGTGATCTGATTTTCAATATTTTTTCAAGGCCTCCAACAATCAGACGCTTCATAGTATTGAGTCGACATGCTCGAACACTAACACCAACTGTTTTATCATTTGTTGTGAAGTGCACGCTTGGGGACCTGCGAAAGGACCTTGTTGCCAAGCTGGAAGGAAGACCGTTCAAGCAGCGCAAACTATGGTAACTAGGTTTCACAATCCCACGACTCCGCCTGGTCTAAAACTCTCTCACAACCGAGTCAGTGATTTCACACAGCCATGTAAAGTGCCGAGTCGTTTTCATGTGTCACATAACCTAGTATTGTCTCTCATTACACAAAGTTTGTCCGTCGGCAGTGCACTAGTGGCCAGATGCTTGCTTCCTTGAAATATAAGCTGGAAGAAAATATTCCTTTAAGGCTTACTTGGCTCCCGAATACACATTTTTCGACCCATATGGGCTCCTTGTTTGACGTGATAAATCACCTCTATCTAAACCAGGACTATTTGTGAATGAAACGGATAATGCTGGGATCCGAAAAGCAATTGAATAGCACGTCCATAAAACCGCAAAATTTGTGACCTCAGTGCTCCAATAAAAGACAAATAAACCGGATAATGTTCCGAACAGTTGGGTGTCAGTGGAAGTAATCCTCTGAGCCTCCAGATTGGAATAAAGTAGTCGAAATATTTGCAAGTCGTTTTTTTGGATACATTCGAACTAGCAAGTCAATTCAAGTCGGCGTGTGAACAGAGCCCGGTCGTGATCCAATAATTTGCCAGTAGTCATCTCATTTTAACATTGAAGGACACATTGTTCCTAGATCTCACAGTTCAGTTCAAAAAAGTTCGTTTGGTGTTATGCTTGGTGAGGACCTTATGGGCAAGCCCATATGACTTTGGGAATGTCCCTTTTCGCTCCTTAACAGGTGGTTAATATTCTGATGATAGTAAGAGATTTTTAGATTTTCATATGTCGAGTGCATAATATGAAAGAAGGCAAGTAAGTATGCGACTGTGACGATGAGTNAACCCATAAAATGCTCTCTAGGAGAATAACGGTTGCTATAATCGTCTATAGCATTATCTTCGGTTAGCAAATCTCTAACCATATGGAACGCCATGTTAAGTTGAAATTGTTACCGACGTGCTCGCTATCCGAAACTTGTGCAGGTGGTCAAGTGCTGTCTCCTCCAGCGCAGCTAGTTGCTCGTAGGTGAAGACGACGTGGCAGATGTTAGAGCGCTGTGGCGTCAAACTCAACAGTGCCTGGAATGATCATCGTAACGACGGTTGTTTTGTTAGTTAGTGCCATTTGATTTGACGATCATCATACAAAGCATCCTAATGTACATTCCATGAAGGAAACAATCGCAACTTGGAAACTCACTACAATTACGATTTGCGAAAGTCGTCTACATAAAATCCAGAAGGAAAAAACGTAATTTTTCCGTCATAAGTTTCTAGTAATAAGGACAAAAGCTTAGATTTAATCCAAATGCCTCCTGACATCATCCCATCTCTAAACTAGGATTAGATAGAAATAGTTGGGACTTGTTCAAATTCCTATACCATTATTTCCATACTTTGTAGCCGCAATGGCTTTCATTACATGTAGCGCGAGAAAGCTCACGATTCATGTTTCCTTTGGTTCTTGATGACAGGGAGTGAATTTAGGCGCTTGTTGGCTAACTAACTACTATCCCACCTTATCTCCTTTCATTTTTTATTATCAGACGTGTCACGCAGGTTTGCGTCTTCCCACGGGTTGCATAAAGTGAATTTTTCCCGTAGTTCTGTGCATCTTAAAGCCAACCATATAGCGCTACGACCGAGTATGTTGCTGAAGTATGCTGGACTAGAAAATAAACATCTTCGTCTGTAGAAATGTCTGAGCCATTAATACTTTCAGCCAGTAACCAACAAGTTGACGTCAACAGATGGATAATCAGGATGCACATCCAGAATAGCAAACTTGTTATGACAAATCATCGAGTTACCACTGTACACTGCACTATCGTGGCTCCCGGTTAAGGGCAGGAATGTGGTTCTAAACTCTCCAGCTATAGTTCATCGGATATACGGGTTCTGTCTTTTGCGCTGATATGTTAGTGATCGGTCCCACCAGGACCAATTAATTTAACACAGTTTTAACAATGACTTCCGGTCAATCGGCCGTCTCTTCCACAGTCCGGAACACACCACCAGCAGAACCATTGAAACCTGTCTAGAGGTTTGGCAGAATGTTTGTCTAGCTGAGGAAACATGTTGAAAATTTACCATAACACGTCTACCTGATATCATCAGCATGATATGAATAGAAATACACACATTTAATAACGCGTTGAGTAATTTCGGTCGTACGAATTATTTTCAACCATATGTGGTAAAAATCGATCTTGGGATCACGTCGATATCCCTAACTTAGCGTCTTTTACCAGAAGCTGGCATAAGTGTGGTCCACAATAAGTGTAAATGGACCAATAGGACCTAGAGATGTTTTTTTTTCATAAGACTTTCCAAAGTTCTTACTAATGTATTTTTGGAAAAGAAACATTATTCGAGGATGAAAGAAGAGCACTATTCAACTCATGAGAAAATCCATTAATCACAAAAGCGTACTTTCCTTACAGCTCAGCACGCTGATTTCAGTAGCACAACCATATCAGTCCTTGAACATAGCGAGCATTTCTTAGGGTGGGTAGTATGTAAAGTTTGCGTGCACTTTTCCTCGTTAGGCGTCGAAGAACTATCATAACAAAGAAGACAATCAATAGACAGAACACCCTAGTTGTTGGAGAAAAGAAGGTTTCGGGTCAAATCGCAATGAGTTAAATATGCTTTCCTTAGAAAAGCAACAGTGATACGCCAAATATTATGAAACGTGATTTTTACAAATTAACAGAGAATAGTCATACATGGGTATTCACCTGTTCTTGATGTCGCTTTCGCAGACATCCAGAGGAATAAAAAATATGTAGGTCCGATGGTAACCGTTAGTGTTTAATGCGACTGCACCAACCATCCATCTTGTTTTCCTTCAGCAGTATTTCCGGCGAGAATATTCGGGTGAATATCCATCCCTGTATAGATTCCTAGATGAGCGAGACCCGTACACATAAACTGGTCCATGGTCCGGGGCTTGAGACCCATTGAAGCTATTCATTCTTGAATTGATTATTCCATTCGATACTCTTTTTTGTACTGGTTGTAATGTCTGTTGGCCTGTTGACTGTTCCGGGTCCACAATATAAAGGTATTCAGCGGGTTCTTGTTGTGAATACGGCCGATACGCAACCGATCTAGACTGTGATGATCGGTTTGATAATCGTCTCTCAATGTGGTACTCGGAGCTCGACGAAGAAGAGAGAGAAACCACTCTTACTGGTCCAAGACCTTGCAGCAATCGTTTTGGATCGTCCTGGATTGTGCCTATCATATCCCGAATGCACTGTACATCTGCAGAGTTGTTACAAGAATAGGTTTCATAGCTTCGTTTGCCCTTCTTCTCTTCAATGACGAAAAGCATGAACACGTTTGGATGGTTCGCGAATTTGTGAAAACTGTGAACTTCCCTGTAGTTCAGATATTCGTGGTGTCCCTTCTTCTTAAATCGCATTCTATCCACTAAGAAAAAGACCGGACTGGGTTTACCTTTCTTCTTCAAATGTTTATCCAACAGGTTATTTGCAGTTCGATCATTGAACGCTTCAGAATCCTTCAGCTTTGTTCTTCCAAGCTGAGCGACTGGAATTTCTTTGTTGACTACTTGCTTTGACTTTTTATCAACTGGTTGATTAACTAAAGGATTAAGTTCAACATCCTTGCTGGTCATGGTAGATAAACTATTGTCGTGCTAAGCACATAAGATTGGTGATCTACTACACTTTGTCTGCCATGTTTTCAAATTAGTACAGACCTTGACAACTCCATTGAACTTGATTGGTTTCTTGATTTCAGCCAATGATTCACGTTTAGAAACACGTATTTGACGTTTTTGTTATTTTAAACGTTGGGTTTCCAGGATCTGGATCGTAGTAAGATACTCACTGTGTTATTAATATACACTGGTTGAAAGCTCCCGGGTTATCTTATCAAATCACTGAACATTTTTTGTTTATGAATGGATGAACTTCCTCCAGGAAGGGACTAACGAAAGAGTTATAACATGGAGAACAGCGGGCATCACAAAAGTTTTTGCTTAAAACTACTTTGTTAGGAGTGCTTTCAGTAGCTGTCATTTGTATTGGCATCTAGCATCGTAAATAACAATGCTTAAGAATGTGTTATCTCCGCAAACGGCGTGAACTATTTACTTTGCAACGAAAATAGAAGGGAACAACTTGGTAGCTTTCAAAAACGGAGGAGTGAGCTTGAATACTTTGCTGGTTCATCTCGCGATACGCTACCATTTCGCATGTTAGTGGTATCTCGAAACCCCGCGAAATTAACCGGTCAGGCTGTTTTCAATAATCAAATGCTCTTTATTGGGATAATCAAATGAACACTGCAAGTTTACTGCCCTAAGATCGGTTTACACTTCAGCATCACGTTACTCCAACACAGGGGAAATCATCTGGCTACACATTTTTGTTGAAAAGACAAATCTAGCTGCGCAGAGATTTTTCTGTTGTATTCGTTATTACGGGATAAACCAACAACGTAAAACATGTTGCTTTAGTTCCAACGAATGGTCCTCTTCAGAAGGAAACATATCAATGAATTTACATTGTGTCTTTTTCTTGAACAACGTTTGATTGGCCATATGCCATTGAACTCTTATTGGAAAATAATGACTGACCTTACGTCGCCTGGACTATTGGAGTGGAGCAATTTATGAAGCCATGTTTTGGCACTATGTTGAGCGTACTTTAACACCGATAAATAATTCATCCAGCATAATTACCCCCTACCCTGAAATGCATAAATTTCATGGTTTTAATGGGTTAGGTTGACAAACATGTTTTCAACAAATAGGTTTCAAAGTAGCGTGTGGAAGATTCGATTGAGGGTGAGTTACCTGTGTTTACTTCTGGTCGACGTAGTTCTAGGAAACACTCTGTGAGGCCTTAACTATTTCCTCGAGAGCGTTTGGTATTTACACTTGACACTGATGAAGCATGCTTGAAGACAGTAGACACTTACAAATAGCCCATGGTGCGAAGCAAGTCTAGATCGATTGAACGAAGGCCCGAGTTATTTTTATCAAGCTACTTGAGCACTTCAAGACTTTCCTTTAAGGTATTGTACACCATCGATCCATCACGTCAATTCACACTTGATATCTTTTGTACTCAAATTAAAACAACAAACAAATGAAGCGATCAGTGTCTTCTACTTAGCATGGAATTTGATCCATAGTTTCGGATTCCGAGTGGTTGCCTATATTCTAGCGCAGCGATGGTATGAATCGTCAGTTTACCGAAAGCTTATTGCAGCAAGATAAACGGTGCTTAGTTAGTGGAGCACAACCTTATGTTAGACTATCCATAAAATTCCATGCGTCCGTTAAATTAGCTCTGAGTGTTTGCCAAAGACGAATGTACGCACGGTTTTCAGCTTCAGAAATTAGTCTGGTACAGTTCGTCAGTGATATGACAGAAAAATAATACGTTTTATTTCGGTCACAGGATATATGGGAATAAATTACCATAACACAACCGCGGTTTAAATTTATCAAACTCGTTTCTCGAAAAGATACGGCGCACTCCTCATGTTGATTGGCTGTCAAGTTCAACCGCTCTGCCTCAGTTTTACTTCAACCACGATTTGTGCTCGCTTTGGCGGTACACAGACTAGAGAAGAAAATCAAAATGGGTCCTGCGCGAAAATGAAATGCGACATCCTGAAGCACGCTACGTTTTTTCTGTTTTTGCCGCCCAACGAGACTATCGTAGTTCACGATTACAACAATTGGACTTTTATGTGGCATTTATCTTGAACGACTTCCGATCAGTTGAATATTATTGGGACTGAGTGTCGCACATCTGGTTAATTTTGTTACATGTATATATAAAATTACGTTCTAGTGATGCCATCCTCAGTTGAAAGCTACTGTACATGGCCTCAAACTTTCTTCCGACGTTCTATATATGCCGTTCCCAGGAGAATAATCAAGATTAATGTGACACGAACACCACATTTTATGTCGAAATAAAACTGCCTGAATTCTCCACCACAAAATCAATACGAGCAATTTCAAAGGAACTGGAACCTGATGAAAAGCATTTGGTTGCAGGTCTGCATAATATTGGGTAGGCTTTTGGTTCGAGTTGATTTAGGACGAAAACCGCTTTCGGAACATAATGTCCGGCGAACGCTAATTTCACCAAATTTTGTGATATATAGTGGCATCTACAGTGACATTTCAATTAGCAGAAGTGTCATATTTCAGGAAACTTAATAGCGAAAATAAGGCCGTTGTTTTTGCCAGTTTTCTTCGTACATTCCGAATAGTGGAAACCTAGTGAATCAAAATGCGAGATATACAATTAAGTTAAGCCACTTTCTTGTTCAACTTATTCCTTGGTGAGGTAATTGTTGAGCTGCTTTGTGTTAGGTGGTATGTGAGACCGCCACAGTGGCAGTCACTCCTTACGGGCAACAGGAAACCGCCTCACATGTTGGCGACTAAAGGTTAGTATTTTATTATCATCTTCATTGTTGCTGGTGCGTCTTCCGATAGGCGCCCCGCAATTCGAGTAGTATGTCGAGATTGAAAAGTTAGGAATAGAATACAGGGACGGCCGCAGCCACTCGAAAGTAGTGCGAACAACTCATGGTAGTGATGTAAAACAGTTTACAAGGATTTCTGTACGAGGCAAATTCAAGATAAAATTTTTATTCCTATAAAATCATACGGATCTCCGAAAAAGGGTAGAAAACGAGAAATTTCTTCTGAATAGAAAGTGTTTGAGTGACAAACGGAATACTTTTGATTTGTTCTAGAGCAAACACGTATTATGAGGCTAAAGCCGTCGGTAACTATTCCGATTTACGTTGATCGTGCGTAGTATCGTCTGTCGTAAGACAGGTGGGGTTGTACAAAATGATCATAATTCCAGCGAGTTGATTAATCTGAAGGATCATTTTATATGCAGACTAGTTTATTCTCTGTGATCAGCGGTTCACTATCTGTGTGCGATCTCGAATAAGTCCATCTCTCAAAGTAATCGGGGTCTATGGGAATCACACTTTGTGTTCGACTAGGAGTCTGTCCGTTAACCTCTGGATGTTCTCTGTAGATTACCAATGCTGAGGATTTTGGTGCATTTGGAGGATAGTGATTGGGTCTTGGGTACGATGCTTCAATATGGCTCAATGAAAAATCAAAAATTTCATCTGAAGCAAGAGAGATCCTTCTAAAGGAGCTAATTTCTTTTAGGATTCTCATTGGGTGACTGTTTGCTGTGGTGAGGATATCTCGGACGACTTGCACATCTGATACGTTGTTGCATGCGTACGTTTCGTAGCTTTTCTTGTTGCTTTTCTCATCAATCACAAACAACATAAACAAATTTGGATGGCGTTCGAAACGTTGAAAATCTCGGATTTCTCTGTAACTGAGAAGGTCATGTTTGCCCTTTTTGGTAAAGCGCATTCGATCGAACAGAAAGTGTACGAGAGCAGATTTCTTCTTCTTGTTCTTTTTCAGATGTTCCTCGAAAACATTTCTTGCCGTAACTCCGCTGAAAGATTCCGTGTCTTTCAGTTTTGTGTATCCAATTTCAGTGAGTGGAAGGTCTTTCACTATCACTTGTTGAGACTTTTTATCAACAGTACAGTTGACGTAAGGGTTAAATACCACATCTTTGTTCATAATGAACAGTCCATAGTCAGCTGGCACAATGGTGCTATTCATAAAAGATAGTCTTTATATGCCGTCGAAACCTGGCAGCCCAGTGACTCAGAGTATTATTGCAGTACCAATTGTCATGTTAAAATTGATTGGCTCTTAGTCTCTAAACTGATTGGTTTATTTGTGAGTGATATTACGATAGACGGAAGGTGAATGTTCCCTACAACTATGTCTAATAAAATAACCGCTTTTCGAGAAATACAATCATTTGCAAATCAATTTGGTTTTCACGGGAGGCTCGACTGAATCTCTCGTTTATAATATTCTACAACTGAATGTGCTGCACACAGGCCGCCTCATGTTTAATTTGGCACAATATTCGAGATATCGCAGTATATTTTCATAAAGGAAACTACTCACAAGGTTGCTGAAAACTCTTCGACAGCCCACGACCGGTTTTGCCCTTCTCGGGGCTCATTAAGTAGGCGCAGTCCCAGAGGTTCTGTCAATCTTATGTTCTACTTGCACCCAAATTGGACTGTTTTTGAAAAATACACTCATTTGAAAATTAGTTTGAAACTGTGCCCACCTGATTGGCCCCAAAATGGTCGTGGGCTGTAGAAGAGTTCTCAGCAACTTTGTGAGTAGTTTCCTTTAGGAAAATGACCGCTGCTTTTCTCCAAAATGTGTACAGGGGTTTCAAAATTGTGTCGCTGTGCAGAAGGTAATACCAATCAGCCCTTTGGTTAAAAATTTGCAATAATCCCGCGTGTATTCTTGTGTATTCTCAACTACTATGTTGGGCGAACGTCTCGAACACCTACTGTTCACTGAATGATGGCAAGATTCCCAGCGTAATACCATTTCTTGTATATATATATATATACCAACAAAAAGTTGGATGTTGGAGACGACATAAATTTGCATGCTGTACAGCCTTCACGTGGGTTTGAAAAGTCGTAGCTTTCATCTTACATCATGGGACGTCTGACAGTCTGCAGGGGACCCGGATACTGATTATCCACACAGGCCTCGACCTACGACGAGTCTGACCAACATATCCGAAGGCGAGCCATGTCTTGCGATTGCACTATTTTTTAAAATGACAACTTGTCTATGTTTGTATGGTGCGGTGGATTCACCAAAATATTTAACCTGTATCATAACTTTTGCGACACTTTCAGCAGTGTACATCATTTCTAAGACGCATGACAGTCCCTCGGTTGGGGATCTCATCTTGAAAGTTTGTTATAGCCTTTAGCATAGTCGGCAAGGGTTCAAGAACATGGCACTCCTTTGTGATATCAAGTAAGATGTTTTACGCGTTTTATTAATGCCGTATTAAAATATCAATGCATAAAACTGATTTTCGAGAAGAACTGGTGGTCTCTTACGATGGTTGGTGATTACACTTCCAGGGGTGAAGCAGACGCATTTCACTTTTCTTTTCTTCTTCTTTTCTTTAAAATAAATGTATGCTGGACGCGGACAACTGGACATGCATGATTTATACGCAATGGACATAAAGTTTATATACTGGGGTTTGATGCCTTCAGTTTTTATTGGGAAGGTTGCTTTGCTTATTAGTTCCCTTTTGCAAGTGCGAACCAGATGTGGTGGGCTGAAGGCAAATTTACGGTGAGCGGTTGTCTCCTAATTCTGAAACAAAAGACTGTTTATTTTGTAGTTGTGATTATAATGTGATCACAATAAACACGGGGTCATTTTTCACCCACCTATGACAGACACCGAGACAGACATGTACAAAATACTCTGAAATTTAGACAAGTCATGAAGCTTGACATCGTACTAACTGGTCTTGACAACGCCTGAGATGTTGTGGCGATTCCGAGATTTTGGCGGCGGATTTCATGAAGACGTTTAGGTGAAAAGGGTTAGGTAAACTTTTATCTTGATGTCACTGAGCACCTCAATTCTGCGTTTTTAGAAATGAGCCATTCGCAGCTGAATTCGGACATCGAAACCCTTACCTAGGAGCCTTTAAGTTCGCACTTCTTTCCGGCAATAATAAAATTTTTTTAACGTTTCCTAGACTTCCAGCTTCAAGCAGTCTTACCTTATCCGCAAATATCACTTTTTGAACCCTAGAAAATGGGCCCACAGATCAAGTATCAAATATGTGTGGAAGAAATTGCCTTATTTGGGGGTGTGGTTGTGGTTGCTGGAAGTGCAACGAATATTACGACCCATTAGGAGTAAATCCTTTAAAGCGGAATCGAAAAAAACTGGAATTTGGCACACATCATCAAGGCTTCTTCATCAAGGAGGTCGTAAAGACCCAGACCATCAGTAACTCTAGTTACATTGGTACCCCTATTTGCGAAATTTCTCCAGCCATCTTCGGCAGGAAAGGTTCCTTATAAATTTACTCCATCTAATTCATACACTTATCAAGACGTGACTTTGTGATAGATATCCACTTGAAGAGCCTAGGACAACTGCATTGCATTTTATCAGGTTATCTCCGCACACGTATGTTTCCTGATACACTGTAAGACTACTAACTAACCGATTGCCTTGTGCATTTAGTTCCTCTCATAAATTTTGGTAAATCAAAAACGAGCAATGTTTGCACTTGGTTTATGACACAGAACATCCTATAGATTAAAGTGTCGGCTGTGCAAGATTTCTATAATGAGTAAAATAATGATAAAAACTGAGTAGACTGGAAAACCCAAAACAGATCAGCGAGATGTGTGACATTCAGTCAACTTAGCGACAATGCTGAATTTGCTTCTCCGGAAATCTTCTTGACCACTTAACCTTCATGTCCATAGTAGGCAGGGACAAGATTTTCAGGGAACACGTTTAACAAGATTGTTTGTCCCGTCTGATTTCGATTAAATTGCGAGCATTGGTAGGGATCTTTTCTATGTTGACCTTGGGACACTCTTTCCTTCCGTCATATCCTGCTGTTGTGTGTATGAACGATCAGGCCTTTGGAAGTTGCTCGAAGTAATAAGGTAGCGGTTTGCCAGCGGATCATCAGTTGCAACCAAACCCATATCAATGAGTGGCAAAATTTGGTTGTGCTCCAATTAAAGCGTACAAAAGTGTGAGAAACTGTGATAGAACGAATAAACTGTGGTTGAATATTTCTTGATCTGACAGAGACCTTATTATCCGATCGCTCTGTGTCTATCAAATAGAATGGAGCTGTACGAATCGTGAAATTGTTTTGTGGTCTACCTGTGGATTCGTGAAAATATTTTCGAGGAACAAGATCATATTCTTCTTCGGTTACAAGTAGGCTTATAGTATAAGAAGTCGAATTCGATTTGAATTCTCATAGCCTTTAAAAGCGGTCAATCAGAACACATGTGATCTCTTTGTACACATAGTATCCACCTCAGGCAACGGCAAAATTTGATACTAGTGTAATTTTTGAAAACACATCTGCAGTAAATTTTACCGAGCAGCCAGGGACATCCGAAGGCGGACTAAGAGTAGTCACGTACACTTAAACTGTATTTGGCAAGTTTAACAAACTTTTTAACTTCTTAGCGTATCTTTTCGTCGAAAGTCCATCAAGCGCACTAGCAAAGGATCTAGTAATGTGCGTTGAAAATCTACTAAACATTTTAGAATACAAATATGGACTGGACAGGTAATGGAATATTGAGGGACGGTCAGTAAGTAGTTTGATTTTGCAGCAAGAAATGTTTTGTGGCCCACAGGGGTTTACGGGGAAGAGCGACTTTCTGACCTCTATGTTGTATGGGAAATAGGATACTGTACTGGGACTGTGTCCTTTCTTCCTTGTTTTTGTGGCCCACAGGGGTTTACGGGAAGAGCGACTTTTTGACCTCTATGTTGTATGGGGAATAGGATACTGTATTCGGACTGTGTCCTTTTTTCCTCCGAAACCTGATGAGAGATGCTTCGTTCTTTCTTTCTCACATGAATGTAATCGAAAAGCCCGCCAGCGGATAAAACCTATTTTGCAGCAAAACAGTTACAGTTATGAATGATGTGACTCTCCTATTGGAAGTCACCTTGTAATAGCTTTGCGAAACTTGGCAATAAAACAGAAACAAGAGTATGTCAACAAGGCTCACTGTGATCTGTTTCAGTTCGATCATTTCAGTAGTAGGTTCGACGTGAGTATTCGGGTGAGTAGTTGTCGCGACCTAAACTTTGTTTCGATCGAGACACGTACATGTAAACTGGCCCGTGATCCATTATTTGCGGTCCGTTAATGTTATCTGATCTCAAATAAGTTACTTCTCCGGCGGGTGCAGAAGATCTGGATGCAATACTTACGGGACGGGTACTGGTCTTCTGGTAGACGACTTGAGTTTCCGGCTCCATCATGTAAACGTACTGGGCGGGTTCTTGTTGCACGTACTGGACCGATGTTGGACGCGATGCTCTACTATATGATCGGGTATCGATATAATACTCGGAACTCGAGGAAGATGAGATCGACAGCAGTCTGGTCGGACCAACATCTTGAAGCAATCGTTTTGGATCATTGTTTGCTGCGTTGATCATATCTCGAATAGCCTGTACATCAGATGGATTGTTACAGGTGTATGTTTCGTAGCTTCGCTTGCCATTCTTTTCTTCAACTACATAAAGCATGAACAGCTCTGGATGGTTCGGAAATCGTTGAAAATTTTGTATTTCTCTGTAACTCAAATATTCACGATTACCCTTCTTTTTGAATCTCATCCGATCAACCAAAAATAGAACTGGTTCTGGCTTTTTCTTCTTGCCTTTAAGGTGCTTCTCCAATAAACCATTTGCTGTTGCTTCATTGAACGGATCAGCCCCTTTGAGCTGTGTGCGTCCAATTTGTGCAACCGGAATTTCTTTGTTCACAACCTGACGAGACTTTTTATCGACAGGATAATTAATGTATGGATTGATTTCGACGTCCTTGCTCATGATGATGAGAACACAGGCAGATACTAGAAATGTTACCGACGACGAAACGATGCCTTTATTTTGGCCCTACTCGGTATCCAAGTATGTGGTACTGTTCAGTCAGACAAAGTCGATTGGCTGGTTGCGCCCAGCCAATAGCTGTTGTTCACCGTGGACAAAGTTGTGACTCAAACCGATTGCTGATACAAGCTGTTTGCGCGTTCCTTTCTACTCATACTCATGACGTAACACAGTCATATCAGGCCACCTTCTTGACTTTAGCATACGAGAGTAGTCTCAGTCTGGTGAAACATGACTTTAAGTTGGAATATTGTAACAGCTACCTGATTTCTTTCGGTTTTCCCGAAAATCGAAACAGGTAATATCACCCGGTGAACAGTTATATTCTAAAAGCTTTGGTACCGTTTTTAGGAATGGCAAACGTGAATTTTTCACACTAAATTAGTAAAGGAAATAGTCAGTTACAAATCAGTGAATAAGTGACTTAAGTTACATTTTGGATGGACGTATCAAACGAAGCCCGTTCAGCTACCCATAGGAATCGCCAGTTTTTCTATTTTGCTATGAACAAAAAAGACATTGTATTACGACACATGCAAGTCTTCTTTGATTTACTCACTACGGACTTTCTGTTATTACCGGTGATTTGAACCAAAGCTTTAAAGACAAGTGATGTTGCTTGGCATGCAACACCTCAAAAAAATCGGCTTATTTCATAAATTGACGGAGAACTTCCCCTAGTCAGTTGAACTATTCGGATAATAGCTCAGTCTCCACGACTAGCGACTAGCGACGCTTGGCATACAATACCTCAAAAAACTTATCGGCTTATTTCATACATTGACGGAGAACTTCCCTAGTCAGTTGAACTATTCGGATAATGGCTCAGTCTCCACGACTAACGACTAGCCAGAAGACCGGGATGCTTGCTGGTTGGCCGAAAGTCTTGACCTAGCAGCCAATCATGGCCCAGTATCAGCCGATTACAAGTTGCCACTGCCGCGTCTAGAAGGCGTTAGAATTTCAAGAATGTTTTCGTCACACACTTTATATACGGTGATCCGTACTTGTGTTTCTGAAATGATTTTTGGCGTTAATACACCTTTGGTGGATCTTTTGTGGTGTACACTGTCTAGGAAGGTTGAGACTAAGAACTGAGCTAGAAAAAAAACGTTATTTCATCAAGTTTTCCTGCAAAAACTTCATTCCGCTAATTTGTTTCAAAAGCAACCCATTTACACATACATCTACCTTAATCAAAAGGTATTCTTCCTGATAGTGGCTGCGTTGCCGAGTATTGGAGCGTCCATCTTGGTTTCCACAATCTACAATAGTTGGTTTCGTCCACTTTGGACCATCCTGTGACTCAGCGGCCTAAACTGTGTTCGGATTTGCACCTCGAATGTGGAAGTTTGGGTGTCGAACAGTTGGGGAAGCTAGTAGCTGTGTTGCCAAAATGTGGGTTAGTAACACTAAGACTGGAACAGTAAGTTCACCTGTCACAACAGTCACGTTACGCCTCAGGGAAGCTGTGTATGATTACACTTTCGAAAATTTAGGAGTATCCAGACTGACAGTTCAAGGCTCTGGTTGGCAGGGTCGAATGGAGTACACCGGTACAGGAACGCTGGAGTGGTGGGGATCAGTTCACTCAAAAATCTGAACGATAGCTTTTGTTCTATGAGATTGCTATGAGTGTCTTGGAGTACCTTGTTTGCAGACCGTCTCATGATCCGGGTTATGCGATCCTCCTCCATTTGAAGAGCTTTTCGCTTGCGCCACGCCACGCCATGCAAAGTATATTTTGAGCTGAATTTTAACCAACAATGCGGTCAAACTGTGTTCTGTGCCTAACGGGTCTTAGCATCTCGTAGTAAGTGTGATGGGTACCATCCGTAAATCCAGCGGTTGAAGTGAGGGCTCTCAGTGAGACCACAACCAGAGTTTCCAGCGTAGTGTTTTATCTTTCCATTGGTATGGCATTGCGCAGTAAGCTTCTTCGGTTGGGGAATTACAAGTGTAGGCTGGAGAATCTGAATTCACGTGTCGCTGTCCTAAATGACGGTAAACCGAGAAGTGAGCGGCACCAAAACTAGTAAAAAAGTAAGCAGTTTGGCTGCAAAATGGTTTCTAACACTGTTCACAAACACACGTGTGAGGAGATTTGTGGATTCCCTATTACCAGATAAGGCATGACGAAATTGTGCATCGGTTTTTTTTATGGATATGGTTAGCTGCGTGCAAATTGTGAGCGGCTGTCAAGTTAAACTGACTGTCTTCCGAGGATCTTAGTGATTGCGAAGTCGTATTCGGTTGTTCACATTCGTTAGATTTTTATGCCGGTAATTTTTTTACCTCAATTGGCCTAGATATCTGTTCGTATTCGTGCGTTTTTGGATAAGAAACGATCAATATGCAATTTCTCTGCGAAGGAGTATCTAAACGAAGAATGGCTTCGTGATAAAATAATGGCTGTATGAATTGTAATGACTAACATTAGATCTATCAGTGTATATCGGCGTGCACTGGTCGGTTGTCTTTGGTGTTTCCTTCAGAGACTGCAAGATAAAATCACGCCTTCCTATTCCAACGACCCAGATGCTGACTCTGTTTTTCTCTTGGATGACCGAAATGGTTAAATGCGTGCTTTTCTGTACAAATAACTGCGCAGACTGCATCAGTTTACACATCACAAGTGGATATGTAACGGCCAAGCAACAGAACTTTCTTGGGCAGAAATTTGGACCCATAAAAAACGCAATAGCATGTTTTGTCACAGCTGCTGATGCCTCGCAATCAGTCGTAGATGTACGAAAGAAAGGCACAGCTCTCCAGGGGTCACTCGGCTCCTTTTTGAAATTGTGGTGAAAAAAACTGTGGTTTGCTTGACCAACACTACTCAGCATTGCCGATTCCGAGCATCTGATCATTCTAATTTGAAATACCGGTGAAGCCAACCAAATTCCCAGATGTGCACCCACGAAGTACAAGTCAATTTTAGAGAAAGACAGTGCTGCTTGTACACCATTGACAGTGCGGATCATTTCGCATAAGCCCCGCCACTAATGCAAAAGTGCATGTGCAAAAATTTATGCCCCACCACTTGTTGCCAGCTTCGACTTAATGACGCACACAACTTTGACCTATTTTTGATGAAAACAATTCCTTGTCCGCATCTAGACTCGTTTTGTGCAAAACTTTTCTCCGTTCGGACGTCAAACCTTAAATGAACTTTCTGACGCTTTCAACTCTCGTTTATGACAAGGAGACGGCAATAAGTTCTTTTGCAAAGCCACGGAGTGATCCATCATCAGCGTTTATGTAACAATGGCCACCAAATGACACTTACAACCGTTTCTGACTCTGACAGCCCGGCAGAGTCGGCACGAAGTCGGTTTTCGAGAGGGAACTTGGCTGGAGCGATGTAGGTTGGAGTTGGTGACAGTAATTCTATTCGTTTATTGTTGGTCCGAAAATTTGGCGAAAATCAAATTCCGCTCAGAGGAACTATCTATTAGCTACACGACCGCTGTCGACTGGAACAACTTTCTCCGCGAAGTTTGCGCCTGGCGGCTTTCGCAGACTCCAACATTTATCGGCGGCCCAGGTATACACGCCCAGATCGATGAAATATCTTTCCTTAAAAACCAAGCAGGGCGAGTCTATCTCCAGAAGTGGATTATCGCAGGGATCTGCCGGGTAACTAGAGAGGTGTGTATGTATGCAGTGCCGATTTCACGCTCTTCAATAAAAACTAAAGAATTAATTTCATATCCTCATTTTTCTTATCTTTTTTGGGTGGCGAGCGATTGGCGGGGCTTATCTAGAATAGATCCGACAATGTTAAGCAGGTTTTGTGCTAGCCAGTTTCACATCAGATGGTGCGATCAAACTCATAAAAATGAATCTCGATGGACATTTCTGGTAGAGAAAGGTGTAAGCACTGCTTTTGGTCTCATAAGGACTCTGTTACTTTGATTGCGCCCATTCCGTTGTCAATTCGTCTGGTGTCTTGTTGATCTCTGCATCGTATTTAATAGTTTAGTCGTTGACTGGCGTTAACCCGCAAGGTGGATTTAACTACAACCATGCGTGTGTGTATTTCAGCTACATTCATTTGGTCATTTTAGAGAGATAAATTGAGTTGTTGAATGCAAACGGTTTCCTCCACTCGTACCTTGGCTTGTGATAGCATGTTGGATTCAATTTCCGTTTCGAAGGATGCACAATTCGATTCTTCGTTTAATTTCTTACTGGGGACGGAAAAATAATGATTAGAGGCTCTAGGACAAGGATAAACGCAATCGATCCCAACGCGCAATCTGCTTGAGACGCTCCTAACGGAACAACAGGACGCACAGCAAATACCAGATAATAGACACCACAAACTGACGTTACAGAAAGATTTACAGATATCCGTGTGATCATTTTGCCAACCACCCGACCTGTTCAGTAGGCCATCATTCTGTGGTCAGCGTGTTCCAGTTTACGCACAACCAACCTATGTCTCGACAGCGTCGCAGGTTATTGTCTATGGTTAAATACATAGTGGCACATAAAATGTCATCGTTGCACTTGTGAAAAGCGATCTCGACGTACTCATATTCCTCGGCGTATCTGTCAGTTGACACTGGTATTCCAAACATGTGATCTATCAGTCAAATTTACAACAAACTCGAGATGAAGGTATAGACATTCAGCTGGTTATGCGCGTGTGTAGAGTAAGTCTTTCGATCTATGCTTTCGACTAAGAAGAATGTACAATTCTTACGGATGGGTGACCACTCTATGGTGCATTGGCCTTAATGCACAACCCCTCGTAGCGAAATAAATCGATGCATCGGCCTTAATGCACAACCCCTCGTAGCGAAACATTAAGAAAGCCTTTAAAGCATGTTCTAAGTTTTCCAAAGAGTGTGCCTGTATAAGAAATGATTCTGTTATGATCCCCAGAAGGATAGTATCCGGAAAGTTAGCTATACTTGAATTTGTAGCGCAAA